AGCACCTGGCAGGCCACCGGCCGAGCCAGCGCCCGACTGCCCGGTTCAGCGAACCGGCAGTCCGGTCCAGACCGGTTCAGACCGATTGGACCAGTTCAGTCAGTATTTATCAGATTCAGTCCCGGTTTTCGATTTTAGTATCATTTTCAGTAAAAATTCCGGGTTCAGTTCAGCTCAATTAATTTATATCAGTTCAGTTTCGTACTTAACCGGTTTCAGTTATACCAATTAAATCCGAATATCATGTCAGGTTCAGTAGAGCATCTTAACATAATTAATCAGTTAATTTATCAGTCTGAGCATAGTCAGTAGTAATTGTTTATATTATATTTCAGTTTGATCAGACATCAGCACAACCATTCAGTTTCAGCAGTTCAGGTGGGTACTCAGACTAAGTACTACATTGATTATAATATCGCTACCATGTTTGAGGTATGTATATTCAGTATCCGCTCGGAATGGTCGCCGGTCCATTCTGGGTTCTAGTGGCATAATCTGTCCACTAGAGTGTGCACATGGTCCGGTATTAGTTTGTGCCGGCAGATTTCGGTATTAGTTTGTGCCGACAGATGTTCAGTTATCAGTTACGTGACTTATGTCGCGAGATCAGACCAGTATTTTTTTTAGATATCAGTTTCAGTTTCAGTTCAGTTATATATGCCAAGATCATGATATTGTTATTATTTTCAATGTTTACATTAGTATGAGTTTCTGTGGAGCACAAGTGTTTTAGTGCTCACGCCCCCACGCATTTCATGTTTTTCAGGTCGCAGGGTCGGGGACGAGGAGTGAGCTGGCGGGCAGTTCAGGATATTTTGTGGATATGTATATATGTGTTTTGCCACACTTTTATTCTGCTAAACTTTCAGTACTTTTAATCAGTTTTTGATCCGACTTTAGTCGGTTAATATATTATAACCGTTTTATTATTCAGTTTAAAAATTTAACGGTTTTTAGAAAAGTCAAGTTTTTCACGGTAACATCCCAAATCAGTTTTCGCAAAATTAATATTCCATTTATTTATTCAGAAAAATTGCGAAAAACGCGTACTCTGATAGTATTAAAAAGTCGGGATGTTACAATTGGTATCAGAGCACGTTTCTGCGTCTCTGAAAAATTTTTCAGTCAGTAATTTTCAGAAAAACCTGAACCGTCACGCTCACGCCTCGCCGACTCCAGGTAAGTGCTGATTCAGTTTTCAGTTATAAACATATTACTTTGTCTATGCTCAGAAATCAGTAATCAGACTTAGTTAAGATGCTCGAATCATATTCAAATTTTAGAGTTCAGATATAATTCTAGAATTCTGTATATTCAGACATGACTTTAGAGATCAGTATACTCAGGCATGACTCTAGAATTTAGTATCTTTTGATATGACTCTAGAGTTCCTCAGGATTCACGTTAGTATTTATCGGCCATTTTTGGCGACTCGTCAAGAGATTTATGTGCCTTAGTAATCAGTCAGAATATTATCACGTGTTCAATAATGTTGAACTTTTTCAATGTTCAGATGCCGCCCCGTAGGGAACCCGATCATCCGGCTCCTACTCAGGCCACCGTAGTCGCACAGTTCCGCGACTATCATGCCGAGAAATTCTCAGGGCAGGGAGATCCTCGCATCGTAGACGAATGGATTCAGGGCCTGGAATTTATCTTCGAGGTCATGGATTGCCCTGATAGATATCTCGTAATTTGCGCTCAGCTTCAGCTCACCGGTGATGCCCGGCTCTGGTGGAGCGCTTACTGGAGCATGCGTCCCGGCGAGAAGGCGGGATGTACATGGGAGATGCTCAAGGAGCTGATCTGTGAGAAGTACTACCCCACCTATTACCGAGCAGAGATGGAGCGTCAGTTTCTATCGCTCCAGCAGGGTACTCGTACTGTTGACGAGTATGAGAGGGAGTTCACTAGACTTGCATCTTTGGTTCCTGATTTGGTTCGCACGGAGGCCCAGAGAGCACAACGTTTCATTGACGGGCTTTACCCAGCAGTCCGTCATAACATCGTAGGCCACGGGACACAGACGTACGCTCGTGCAGTTTCGATTGCTCAGGAGGTGGACGCCAGCATCAGGAGGGAGGCCATCCGTGATCATCTTCAGCCATCCGTTCATGTTCAGTCATCTTCAGTTGCACCGATGCCAGCTCTACCAGCTGCCCAGCCACCGAAGAACAACAAGAGGAAGGGGAAAGGTGCCCCAATGGACAAGAGGACCAGGCGGAGGCTACAGTAGATCCCACAGTGCCCGTCATGCGGACGACTTCACCGAGGCGAGTGTCGCTTTTGCCAAGATATCTATTACTACTGTCACGAGCCCGGACACTTCGCGAATCGTTGTCCGAAGAAGGTGCAGCAGCCTCAGCAGCCTCAGCAGCCACCGCAGCAGCAGCAGCCACGTTAGCAGGCACAGAGGCCGCCTCCGCAGCAGCAGCAGAGGTGCAGACAGCAGGCCCGAGTCTATGCAGTTGATCAGGCAGAGGACGAGCAGCAGCCAAGTACCATGTCAGGGATGGTTGTTCTTAATAATGTTCCTGTGTTTGCTTTATTCGATACTGGAGCGACACATTCTTTCATTTCACGACGATGTCTCGATGTCATCGGAGTTCGCGCTACCACCGCTATCGATCCTCTCGAGGTGAGTTTAGCCTCGGGATGAAAGATAGTGACCTCAGCTAATGCTTCAGATCGTAGCCTTTCCATCGGTGGCCGAGTATTGTCTACCGACACGTTTGTTCTCGAGATGAGGGACTTTGACCTTATTCTCGGAATGGATTGGCTATCCTTTTATCATGCAGATATCAGATGTCATGACCGGGAGATTACGCTTTATCTTCCGGGAGACGAGTTGATCACTTTCTTTGGTTCCAGGAATTGTTCATTGCCTCATGTTGTTTCGATGGCGAAAGCCACTAAGTTGCTGCGACGAGGCAACTGCCAGGGTTATCTGGTGAGCCTTATCGATAATTCTCAGAAAGCACGATCACCTCACGATGTTCCAGTTGTTCGTGAGTTTGTGGACGTGTTCCCAGACGAACTTCCAAGAGGATCGCCTAACTGGCAGATGGAGTTCTCTATAGATCTCATTCCAGGAGCCGGTCCAGTATCCAAAGCCCCGTACCGTATGGCGCCAAAGGAGTTGCAGGAGCTTAAGACTCAGATTCAGGAGCTGTTACGACTCAGTTTCATCCGACTGAGCGTGTCACCTTGGGGAGCACCCGTTCTCTTTGTTAAGAAGAAGGACGGATCCATGCGCATGTGTATCGACTATTGGGATCTATACCGGTTGACGATCAAGAACAAGTATCCGCTTCCCAGGATCGACGACTTATTTGATTAGTTGAGGGCAGCTTGTGTATTCTCAAAGATTGATTTATGATCAGGCTACCACCAGTTGAAGATTAAGGAATCATATATCCCTAAGACCGCTTTCAGGACTCGTTACGGCCATTACAAGTTCGTCGTCATGCCATTCGGTCTCAGCAATGCTCCAGAAGTTTTCATGGATCTCATGAACCGTATTTTCCATCCCTACCTCGATCAGTTCGTTATTGTCTTTATTGACGATATTCTTATCTACTCGAAGAGCCAGAAGGAGCACGAGGAGCATCTGAGGGTGGTTCTCGAAACCCTCAGACGAGAAAAGTTGTTTGCAAAATTCTCCAAATACGAGTTCTGGCTCCAGCGAGTAGCCTTTCTGGGTCATGTTATTACTCAGGCAGGTATCGAGGTAGATCCTTCCAAGGTCTCAGCTGTTCAGAACTGGTCGACACCGAGGAGTCCGTCCGAGGTTCGCAGTTTTCTCGGTTTAGCTGGCTATTATCGCATGTTTATTAAGGGCTTTTCCAAGACCGCTCTCCCATTATCCCAGCTGACGAGGAAGTCTGTGAGGTTCGAGTGGACTGACAGATATGAGTCGAGCTTTCAGGAGCTCAAGAGAAGATTAACTTCAGCACCGGTGTTGACTATTCCCGATCCTTCTCGGAGTTTCACCATTTTCAGCGATGCTTCGAGACAGGGTTTGGGATGCGTCCTTATACAGGATGGCCAGGTCGTTGCGTATGCTTCACGTCAGCTTAAGCCGCATGAGCAGAACTATCCGATGCACGACTTGGAGTTAGCAGCAATCGTTCATGCCCTCAAGATTTGGCGACACTATCATTACGGCGGTCATTGTGAGATTTTCATAGATCATAAGAGCTTGCAGTATATCTTTACTCAAAAGGAGCTCAACATGAGACAGCGACGTTGGCTAGAGCTCGTCAAGGATTACGATTGCACTATTCAGTATCATCCGGGGAAGGCGAACGTCGTTGCTGACGCCCTAAGCTGAAAGGTGAGGGGTGACTTGACGTACGTCATTGCTCAGCAGAGTCCATTGATTCAGGAGTTTGCCCGGATGCAGCTTCAGGCGATCGATGCACTTCCCACAGCCGGTTCGGGGAGTACCAGTGCTAGTGTCAATGCCATGCAGCTTCAGCCGACGCTGAGAGAGAGAATCCGGCAAAAGCAGGCTTCTGACGAGTTCGTTCGTGTCATGGAGGCCAAGGTTCGCGCCGGAGGCGTCGAGGGTTTTCAGCTAGGTGCCGATGGTGCCCTAGAGTTCAGAGGCAGGATCGTGATCCCAAAAGTCGAGGCGTTGTGGAAAGAGATTTTATCAGAGGCTCATACCGCACCCTATCTAGCCCATCCCGGGAACACGAAGATGTATCACGACCTGAAAGGGTCGTTCGGGTGGCGACGCATGAAGAAAGACGTCGCCGAGTTTGTCTGGAGGTGTTTTACCTGTCAACAAGTTAAAGCCGAACATCAGAGTCCGATCGGCCTCCTGCAACCACTGCCTATTTCGAGGTGGAAGTGGGAGGAAGTGACGATGGATTTCGTTACGGGATTACCGAGGTCGTCTGAACATCACGACGCTATATGGGTCGTGGTCGACAGATTGACTAAGGTCGCGCATTTCTTACCCATTTCGATGAAGATGTCTTTGGACAAGTTGGCTGAGATATATACCCGTGGAATCATTCGACTCCACGGAGTGCTCGTTACTATCGTATCAGACAGAGATCCCACATTCGTCAGCAGATTCTGGCACAGCTTACACGAGGCGATGGGCACAAAGCTAGAGTTCAGTTCAGCCTACCATCCGGAGACAGACGATCAGTCAGAGCGGACTATTTAGACGCTTGAGGATATGCTTCGTGCTTTGTTGTTGACAGGGGTGCTAAGTGGGAGTCGTTGTTGCCATATGCCGAGTTTGCGTACAACAACAGCTATCATTCTTCTATTCAGATGGCTCCTTACGAGGCACTTTATGGTCGCAAGTGTCGTTCCCCTCTTTATTGGGACGACGTCGGAGAGCGACGAGTACTCGGTCCTAAGTTAATCGAGGAGACAGCAGATCTGGTCGAGTTGATCCGGCAGAGACTCAAGACAGCTCAGAGTCGACAGAAATCTTCAGCCGATCATCATCGACGAGACATTCAGTTCGAGGTTGGCGAGCCAGCTTTTCTC